TGGCCTCAGCCCATCGATCCAGCCTGTCCAGGTCCCTCTGCAGAGCCTTCCTACGCTTGAGCAGATCCACATTCCCACCCAATTTAGTGTCATCTGCAAACTTGCTAAAGGTGCACTCAGTCCCCTCATTCAGGTTATCGATAAAGATGTTAAACAAGACTGGCCCGAATGCTGAGCTCTGGGGAACACCACTTGTGACAGGCCATCAAATGGATTGAACTTCATTCATAACTGCTTTTTGGGCCCAGGCATGCAGCCAGTTTTTTACCCAGCAAAGAGTATGCCCGTCCAAGCCATGAACAGCCAGTTTCTCCAGGAGAATGCTGTGGGAGACGGTGTCAAAGGCTTTACTAAAGTCCAGGTAGACAACAGCCACAGCCTTTCCCTCATCCACCAAGTGGGTCACCTTGTCAGAGAAGGAGATCAGGTTGGTCAAGCAGATCCTGCCTTTCATAAACCCTTGCTGACTGGGTCTGATCATCTGGTTGTCCTGTAAGTACCGTGCACTGGCACCCAGGATGAACTGCTCCATAACCTTCCCCGGCACCAAGGTCAGACTGACAGGCCTGTAATTCCTGGGATCCTCCTTCTGGACCTTCGTGTCACATTTGCTGACCTGCAGTCAAATGGGACCTCCCCGGCTAGCCAGGACTGCTGGTAAATGATGGAAAGTGGCTTGGTGAGCACTTTCACCAGTTTGCTCAGTACCCTTGGGTGGATCCCATGCAGCCCCATAGACTTCTCTATGTTTAGGTGGTGTAGCAGGCCACTAAGCACTTCCCCTTGGATTCTGTGGGCTTCATTCTGCTCCCTGTCCCTGTGTTCCAGCTAAGGGGGCTGGGTACCTGTAGAACAACTGGTCTTACTATGAAAGACTGAGGCAAAGAAGGCATTAAGTACCTCAGCCTTTTCCTCATCCTTTGTCACTGTTTGCCCTGGCATCCACTAGAGCATGGAGATTCTCCTTAGCCCTCCTTTTGTTGTTAATGCATTTATAGAAACATTTTGTTGTCTTTTATGGCAGTAGCCAGCTTAAGTTCTAGTTTGGCTTTGGCCCTTCTAATTTTCTCCCTGCATAACCTAACAACATCCCTGTAGTCCTCCTAAGTGACCTGCCCCTTCCTCAAAAGGCCATAGGCTGTCCTTTTTTTGCTGAGTTCCAGCCAAAGCTGTCTCTTCAGCCAGTCCGGTCTTCTTACTCACTGGCTTGTCTTTTGGCATGTAGAATGCCCAGCCTTCCTGGACTCCCCTGCCTTTCAGGACCTTCTCCCAAGAGACTCTGTTAACCAGGCTCCTAAACAGGCCAAAATCTGCTGTCCAGAAGTCTGAGGTGGCCATTCTGCTGACCCCCCTCCTTACTTCTCTGAGAACTGAAAACTCTATTATCTCATGATCGCTGTGTCCAAGACTGCCTCATGCCATCGTATTGCACACAAGTCCTTTGAACCATGTTTGCAAACAATAGGTCCAGCAGGGCACCTTCCCTAGTTGGCTCCATCACCAACTGTGTCAGGAAATTATCTTCCACACACTCCAGAAATCTCCTAGACTATTTCCTCTCTGCTGTATTGTATATCCAGCAGACATCTGGTGAGTTGAAGTCCCCCATGAGAGGACTAGTGATCATGAAACGTCTTCCAGCTGCTTATAGAGTATTTTGTCTGCCTCCTCATCCTGGTTGGATGGTCTGTGACAGACTACCACCATGACATCTGCCTTGTTGTCGTTCCATCTGATTCTTACCAATAGACAACCCTATCATCATTGTTAAGCTCTAAACAATCAAAACACTCCCTAACATAGAGGGCTACCACACCACCTCTCCTTTCTTGCCTGTCCCTTCTGAAGAATTTGTAGCCATCCATTGCAGCACTCCAGTTGTGCGACTCGTCCTACCGTGTTTCCATGATGGTGACTATGTCGTAGTTTTCCTGTTGCACAATGGCTTCCAGCTCATCCTGTTTGTTGCCCATGCTGTGTGCATTGGTGTAGATGCAATTCAGTTGGGCTATTGATCTTGCTGCCTTTTTTGGGGGAGAAACCCCACTTCCTACATGACCTTTCTTGGGTACTTCTGTGGTATCAGACATATCAATAACCTTCGTGTCTTTGCTGCCACAAGGGTTTCCATTTCCTGCCTCCACCGAGGTGGTAGTCTGAAGGGCCTTGCTTGCACACCGTCCCTCAATCGTTGATGTGCCTCCCCCAGGCTTATCTCTAGCAAGCAAGCCTTTTCCCCTTTTGAGATAGGTGTACCTGATCTGTTGCCATCAGGCCTGGTATTGTGTAGACTGACCCATGATCAAAAACCCCAAAGTTCTGCCTGTGATACCAGTCTCAGAGCCAGGTATTCATCTGCTGGGTCTTACTGTTTCTTCCCTTGTCATTTCCTGATAGAGTATGACACGTGGGGACAGCCTGCTCCTGTGCCTTCAGGATTTCCTTTTTGAAGAATGCCCAGCCTTCCTGGACTCCTCTGCCCTTCAGGACTGCCTCTCAAGGGACTCTGTTGACCAGGCTCCTAAACAGACCAGAGGATGCTCCTAAGCTGCCTAAAGTGTGCAACTGGAGGGGTAGAGGAGAACACTACTTGTGCTCCTGGTCCCTTAACCATGTGTCCCAGAGGCCTGAAGTCTCTCTTGATTGCCCTCAGACTTCTTGTTGCCATGTTGTCGCTGTCTGCCTGAAAATTCAACTATGGATAGTCATTTGAGGGCTGCACCAGGGTGGGAAGCGTACTCTTCACCTCTTTAAACCTGGCTGCAGGGAGGCAGCAGGCTTCCCTAAGGAGTGGGTCCCATCTGTGCGTTGGAACTTCCATTCCCTTCAGAAGGGAGTCTTTCATGACAATGACCCATCTTTTTCTCCTTCAGTTTGATTCCAGTAGTCTGTTTCTCTCTCACATTCACTGACACTCCTCCACCACCACCACCTCCTCCCGGAGCTCTGTCCCCAAGCAGAGGGGCTCTTCTCCCTGGGCACACCTCCCACAGCGGGACTCACTGCTGCCGCCCGAGCGGGGCGGGCCTTGCAGCTGGGCACTGGGGTGGCAGTGTGTTCCCCATGGGGCTCTCTCCGGGCAGCTGCGTTGGTTGTGGTGGGTGCAGAGCTCAGAGGGGTCGTGGCCTTCTGCCGGGCAGTACAATCGCTACCTGGGCAAGCTGGTAAGGCCGCCCCGCCACCAACCGCCCTGCCTGCGCTCCCGGATCCCGCCGCTGCTCACCGCTGCTGTTGCCGCGTCCTCAGCGATCGGCAGAGCTTTTTGTGAAATGCTTGACCACATCAGCAGTACCTGTTGTATGTAAACGTATGCTTCATTTCTTACCAGGTTACAAGTGATCTGGTAGCTTAGGAGCAGCTTAGGAGCACACTCTGGCCTGTTTAGGAGCCTGGTCGACAGAGTCTTTTAGGAGGCAGCATGTAATTTACAATGTATTTGAAGAAAAATGGTAGGTGTAGTCCTCAGTTTCAGGAAGTGGAATAGTAATATAATAGATATATTCTTTCTCCAGAACATAGTAACGTGTTAAAATAAGGACATTTTTAAAAATCTATGGTTCTTTAGTTTGGGATTTCTACATAAACGTTTGAGTTGGTGTTTTTTCTTATTGTTGCTATATTTTGAGTGATTACTGTGAGCTAGAGCACTAGTTCTAAACCACTTTTTGTTGAGTGCACAGATGTTGTTTTGATAGGAAATTTCTTTGCTGTTTTTTTTCGAAGCCATACTCTTGTTTAGTCATCACATACCAAGCACAGTCCATTTAACCTTAGATGTGTATCAACCATGTATCTAAGGAGGAACTGGGATGTGAAATATAGTCATTACTTCTAGTGGCTTACCTTCAGTTGTGGTCATTGTCTGATATTACAGAGGAAATTAGGGGAAAAATGCCAAACCTTGACTACTTCTGGCTTCCCTCTTTTGAAAAAAGAATAAAAATATTTCTTATCTCTGCAAGTCACTTTTTAAATCTTCTGACGGAATAAGTGGTCTATTGTAATAGATGCTCTTTTGTTTTCTGCTGCATAAACTCAATAATTTAATTTCTATACCATTCTGTCTCATTTTACTCCAATGTAACTCAACACACTTCAAGAGATGCTTCTTTTCTTGTTATACAGCTTTCCCTGTTAATGGCACAACTGAAGGCTTTAACAGCGGAACATAAACAGTGGCAAAAAACAAGTCCTGAATGTAAGTAACTGCTTCCATCTAAGGTATGCTCATGTAAACTTCTGCAAAGTCTCTTTCATCTAGACATCTTAAACTGGGTATATATTGAATGTCTGTTGATTGTATTTTCATACCGTAACTACTTAAAATTTAAATACTTCCCACAGTAGCATGTATGTTTCGTTTCTAGATTCTTTTTGCATTTTAGTTCTAAGTGAACTTAGAATTCGAAGTGTATTCTACTACATTTTAACTTGTGATTCTGGACAGCTAAATGCATGGTTCATATCACCTTTCATCAGTCAGTTAAATGGAAAAATAACTGTTAGCAGGTTTCCTAACAAAATAACAAAAGTTCATTATGCTGTTACCTTCCTTCTGGTTTCTGTGATCGTTTCTTCTCCAACATTTGTTTGTATTTCCTTTTTAGGACAGAACTACTTTGGCAAATAATGCCTTCATTTTTTTTATCTTTGCAAGTATTGCTAATAAACTAACAATAATTTACCCAAACATGTTTTTAACCATATTAATACTTCAAAAAAGAGTATTGTATTATGATGTACTAGCTGATACTTTGAAGTAAACCTTTAGTGGTCGGCCTGTTACACCGTAATAAAATATCTATCTTGGATTTAACAGGGGTCAGAGATTTCAGGTCAAGACAAGGTGGTAAAAGACACTTCAGTATACTTTAACAACACAGGAATCTGGGTCACTTGTTGGTCCTGAGAAGCACAAACCACTGAGACAGGTGGTAGCTCTTACATTTCTTAGGAATTATCAGTCAAAAAGTATAAATTTCTCAGTTCTTCAGAATTCTTTTTGTACATAAGCACCAGTGCTGACTGATTTTACTCTGTTGCAAGGCCGATGTGGCCAGACACTGAAAATGAAGCCATTCAGAATCTTAAATGTGAGTAAAGTAAGCTTTTTTCAGGTGTCCCATTTGGAGACTTAAAACAGCTCACACTATCATTAGTATTCTGGTAGTGCTCACTGTTATGTGTCTTATCAAGGATCTGTTAGCACCTTTCAGCCCAGGAAAACTTAATAGTTAATCTTTAAATGGATACATTGTCTTGTTTGAATAGCAGAGGCTTGAGGGTTTTTGTGTTTACAAAATTACAGGACTGTGTTTTAGGCAGCGAACGGTAATTTCCAATATTTTGTCATCTGGCCAAGTTGGAATTCATTTTCAGCTGAACGTTAAAGTCACTTCTCCAGCTATAGGAGACTATCTAGCAGAGAGAGAGCATACCTAATATAGACATAGAGGAAATAAGGGGTGAATAGTAGGTACTAACAGACACTGTCACGTAGAGCTTGTAACCAATCGCATAAGTAAGGTAACTGCGTGCTGGGTGGGTGGACAAAGCGAGATAGCCAATCTGAAAATGTATGATCACATGTACGGAAATAAAACAGTATATAAGACGCAGCCAAACGTTCAATAAACAACTTTTGCTTGAAACTGTATTGGTTGGTATGCAGAGTCCGTCCTTGCACAACCACATCCAGCTTTTTTCAAAGGATACGTACTTGCTGCGTATCTTGATCAAATAATAGCAGCTGGAAGAAAAAATATTTTGTATAAATAGATGTTGTTGCTGTATCAGAACAAGTTCATAGTTCATGTGCTTTGTAAGCCTGTCTCTAAGAATGGTCAGCCTCAAATGCTTCTTAGAGGTATGTAGACCAAAAGCATGACATTGAATTTGGGAAATAGTGGTTCTTGGCTGCTGCTTGTAAATAAGCTGCTGGCTTAAAGCAAATGAATTGAAAGCACTTAGAGTTTTTATCTGGGTAAAATACCTGGAGATGTTACGTTTCCTTACTAAAATATGTAATTATTTTAAGCTTTAAGCTAGTTGCTTAAAAATATTCTTGGGGCTTGACCTATTTTTATTGGCTTGCTGACTTGCTTTGCTCAACCATTTTTACTTATTCCCGAGTGACAAGATTTATTATTAGCAATCTTAATTTTGTACTAGAGAAATGATGTATGCATATTATAATACAAGTAATATTTTGCAGCCAAAGCTTTGCTTTTTTGGCTACCTTTCTGAGGGAAGAGAAAATACGTTGCTGCTAAGAACTTCAATACAGTGCTTGCACGAAAGTGAGGAGTCTGCTGTGCTTACATCTTCTCTGTCCATCTTGGCTCCTGCTGTTTGTTTGAAGGAGGAATTACTCAATTGAAAACACTTTCTCAATTTATCTAAATAGGAATAGCAGAAATACTGATTTCATACAATTTACTAATAGAGCATGCATGTCGGTCTCTCACTTTGGTTTCTGCTTTTAGTAATGGCCAGTTCATGTCTTGTAAATGAGGGCCTGTCAGCATTTAAATTTTAAATCTTATTTTCAGAGGTTATAACTTGGCAGTTCTGCATTTTTTTGGGCACAATATTGGCAAACATACTTGAGTCCACAATGCAAATTTTATTTTTGCAAAGCTTTTAGTTTAGTCTCTTGTTCTTTCTCAATTTCTCATACTATTTATGTAGCTCTAGAGCTGCTAAGTCAGCTGAGTTAAAGCTTTTTAGGAGGCATTTGGCTCATAAAAATAGAATTTAACTTTTACCTTTGCAAAATAAGGAAGTGGAAGCAACCATATTTTAAACCATATAAAACAGTTGTGGTCTCTGCATAATTTTATTTTTCTTTGCAAAATATCTATATTCTGCCAAATTCCTCTTATTTTAATAGGAGTTTCTGGATAAACATGTGCATAGTAGTTGCTTTTACATTCCTAGCATCTGGTAGTATTTTGCTTAGTAATTGTACTGTGTATCGCTAGGCAATTCTGTTTGACATTTGATTTTTGCAAGTGTAGTGATTCATAACCGAAAAAGCTTTAACTGATAGCAGATAGAGCAACCGGTGTTCTTTATGGTAGCACCTGCCATAAATCTGTTGTTCCAATGTCTTAGATCTGCACTGTTCCTTCACTAAATTAGTGCTAGTGATTTCCGTCCGAGGAAGATGTGTCCTTCTGTTCTGATACTCACACAGTATGAATATGGAATGGGAAGCACATACTTAGGATTAGGTATCTAAAATGAAGACGTGTATGCACGATATTCACGTCCGTAAAGAAATCTTGCTCTTACAATAGCACAAACCACTACCTTCCACAACCTGTAAACATAAGCTTAATTTGGGACCGCTCTACTCAAATTTTGTGTCAAGATGTAGAGACAGTAGTTCTCTACATAAAAAGGATTTTATTGTGATGTAATTTAATGCATTTTGAACTCTAGTTTTGCTGATTTTCATCTCAGAACAAACACTGCTTTTAAAACTACTGATCTAAGGCTTCTCAAAATTTGTGTAGATAAAACTATTAAAAAAAGGTACTTTAAAAACTTTATGAAATAACTGTATCGTATTTGGGAGATATTTAATGCTTTTATGGGAGGATTAAGGGTTTTCCTTTTTGTTAAAGGAAAAGCTTTTATTGAAGTAATTATTTTTAAGATTAGAGATTTGGAGCCCAAGCTTGGACAAAAAATGTTCCTGTCATACTAAGGTTTAAATCTGCTAGAGTAGCTTTTATTTCTCATGTTAATAGGTTCAAATGCTTCACTTTTTCAAAAGCCATACATTTGTGCAGATACTGCAGGTTGACATGGAACTGAGAACTATTTGAGTCCATTGAAGGCATCAAATCCAACAACTCACTTTGTATTCAGAAAATCCATAAGCCATAAATCATTGCATTTTGTAAACTGTTCCAAGGAAACATTACCACTTCCTTGAACAGCAGTGTACTTTCCCTTAAATGCTGCTGTTGCTCAGCGTTGGAGTTAAGATATTGGCTTTGCTGGGTCTTTCATCTCCCTGCATGTAGCTGTTCTTGTGCACAGTAAGGATGGTGACATGCTTTTTAAGTTCTTTAAATCTGATAGGTTTTACAATCCTGATCAGGCATTTGGGAGGCTGATTAGCAATGAATTGGAAGACTGGAAGAATTTGATTGGCCACATTGGTAATGTTGATGGAATCCCTTCACTGAAGAAAATCAGGTGTGCTTTTCTTGAAGCATGACTGTACTTTGCATTTCAGTATTATGTACCTATACCTATACACCTGAGCTAGTTCAGGTATGAAGAATAATGCAGAAGCTTTAACACCACACCTTTTTCAGTCTAATTTCATTTGCTCGAAAGTGACAGTAGGTTAGCCCAGCAGGACACCACAAAATGTGGTTAAATTGCTGCTGATGGCCAAGCTAGTTTTTTAGAGGCTACATAAGTTTCTCTCCAGCCAGGCTACTTTTCAGTGTAAACAATATATATATCATCCACTGCAAAAAAACCCAATTCATTTTATTTTGCAGTAATTTCTACCAATCCAGATGTACTGTTATCATTAGGAAAAGAAGAGGTAAGTCTATTTTTTTGTTAAAAGATAATAAAATTTTGTTGAAAAAAATGTAAAAAAAAGAGTATACAATTGCTGCATTTTCCTATGACTCCTCTTGTGGTGGGCTGCTACTAAGATACTGTGTATGTTTCTTCAGGCATTGTGGTTGTTCTAATGTTTTTCTTCCCCTGTATTGTAACTACTAAAATTTCCTAGTTGTAATGAATGGGGAGAGTCCAGCGGAGGGCTACGAAGATGATGAGGGGGCTGGAGCATCTCTCTTATGGGGAAAGGCTGAGAGACCTGGGTCTGTTTAGCCTGGAGAAGAGAAGACTGAGAGGGATCTTATCAATGCTTATAAATATCTGAAGGGTGGGTGTCAAGAGGACAGGGCCAGGCTCTTTTCAGTGGTGCCCAGTGACAGGACAAGGTGCAACGGGCACAAACTGGAGCACAGGAAGTCCCGCCTCAACATGAGGAAAAACTTCTTTACTCTGAGGGTGGCAGAGCCCTGGAACAGACTACCCAGGAGGGTTGTGCAGTCTCCTTCTCTGGAGGTATTCAAAGCCTGCCTGGACGTGATCCTGTGTGACCTGCTCTAGATAAACCTGCTTTAGCAGGGGGGTTGGACTAGATGATCTCCAGAGGTCACTTCCAACATCTACCATTCTGTGATTCTGTGAATGATCTTTTAAACAAAAAGTTTTCATACATTGCATTTCATACTTGATATAAAATAATGTAACATTATGTGTTACACAGAAGAGTCAGTATTCTTAGATCTAGAGTGGCAATAATTTGCAAAGAATTTGTTCAGTTCTTCCAGCCTTGGAAGAAAGAGCAGATCAAGAATGTCTTAGGGGTAGTATTATACTATATTGATTGGACATTGGTATGCAAGATGACCTGAGAATATTCCTGAGGTTATGCCTTAAAAAAACCTTTTTTGTTTTCTTCTTCCTAGCAGTGTTCCTCCTTCTAGTATCACTCACAACAGGGAACCCAACTGCTTTTAAGTGTCACTATTAACAAGTTGTTTGGTTCTATGCTTTCATTTGACTGTATTGCTATGGCATATTTGATCTAATAATCCATTTTTTGGCCTATTTTGTTGAGGAGTCCAGGTTTTTTTCAGATGTTGCATATGCAGAGTGTATTTGTTTCTGTAGAATATTTTCACAATTTCTATTTCTTTGAGCTAAATAGAAAAATTCTCATAGTTTGTATGGAAGGAGACAATATACATCCAAATCATAGATTTATGTTAAAAAGTATGTAAATGGTTAGAAATACTGCTTTGTAAAACATAATGCAGTAATGAAAGACCCCATCCAGTAAGAGTCCCCTGTTCCCTATCTTCAGCAGCGCAAATAGCTTCTGGATGCAGTAGTTTTATTTCTCCATCCTTTCCAAATATGTCCATCTTGCTGAGGACCATTTAATTCTGGGATGCAATTAGTATTTCTTTGCAGCATCCTTGTTTTGAGTGCTATACGTTTTATGTTGGTGCAATTAGCGCAGATTCATTCTTGCAAGCAGCTGCAGTGATTTAGACAATGCAGCCCTGGTGCTGCAGATCTTTTCTCCTCAGTCTTTCATCAGATGAGCAATTCATGTGTGTGCTTCATAACCTCCTTCAGGTAAAATCGACTATGTTGTTTTACAGAGCTTCAATAAGACACTAACGAGCAGCTGGTGGCAGTAACATTTTTAAATAGCTCCAAGGGGATTTCAAACTAGTGTGTCACTCTATAGCTGTATTTCTTAAGAAATTACAGATATTTTTGACCCTCTTTACCAGATTCACAGATGTAACCTTACATAGAATGAATACTGCAGACTAGGCTATGTGCAAACTTTCACTATTTAATAGGTGTGGAAAGTAAAGAATGATCTTGAAATGCTGCTGTCAACAGTTCAGTCCAAGAATAAACGATTGGAAGAAGATCTGAAAAGGTAATACAATAATTTGGACTTATTAATGCTGTAAGCTTTTTTGCCACTGTCCAGGAAAACTATTTATCTGTTGTGCCATTTCCTACTTCTCATGTTTCAAAGAGAACAGCAGTGGCTTGAGGAACAGAGTCAGATACTAGATGCTCTTAATAGAATTGAAGAAGAGACAAAAACCCAAGTGGAACAACTTTCCAAAACAAGGTATTTCTACAGTGTTGTGTTTTTATATTGAAAAAATTAAGTATCAACAAGAGCAAATAAGCAAACAAACTCTTAAAACATACTCCTTGTTTTGTTAAATAGATCAAATAATAGCTCAGTAATCTGTATTTGAAACATGGAAAATATTGCTACTATCTGTTTATATACTGTGATTGGGGTTGGACTAGATGACCTTTAAAGGTCCCTTGCAACACAAACTATTCTGTGATTCAAGACGCTGAACTTGCAACAATAGAAAATACGTGACTTGTTTACTGAAGAATAACTTTAATTATTTTATTTAATTTCATATTCTATTACTGTTTTTTTAGTTTGTGTACTAGGACAGCTTATGAGCTGCGAACTAAATTGTTGGAACTGAAGATTTATAAGGAAGAACTCTTGCATGCTCTGGGTGATTTCCTAGGAGAACATTTTCCCCTTCCATTGGAAGATGGAAATGATAAAGAGAAGGTAAGATTTTCTTAATAGCTATCAAATTTGGAATGTTCAATTTCCATTTAATTAAATGCAGTATCTTTTTAAAGTCACTAGCAGTTATATTTTGAAATAAATATAGTTCTTACAGCTGACCCTTTAGGTTTAATTGATACTTTTCAGGTTGGTTTATATTATTTAAGGCTGTTCCCAGGTGGATATTTTCTTTTTTAACACGTATATCCCTTACCCAATGAGTTGCATAGCAATGTATTGTATTTCTTACTGAACTGAAAGCTGTGCCAAATTTGGAAATGGTAAGGGGTTCACTCCAAATTGTTCCATTTTCTTTTTTACTGGACTAGGCAAGTAGATTCATATTTTCCTTGGCAAAGCAAGTTTTAATTGTCTAACAATGTTTTTGGAACTGCAATAAGGACAAGTGTTTATAATTACAGTATAGTTTGGAATGTTAACCATCAGTTTCTGTTCAGGCAAACTGGGCCAAAAATTATCTTAAAACTTAAGGGAAAATAGGCGGTCAGGGGGTATTTTGCATAATAAATTCAAAGTCTGCAGTAAAAATAAACCTTTTACCATTACTATTTGAAAGAATAGTTACAAAAAAGTGAGGGGTTGATTTTGATTTCAGACATACTTAAGAATACAGAAGCAGGATTTCTTTAATCCAGTTCCCTGTTATTTCAGACAGCCACATAATTGCTTTAGTATTTTCATTGAGCTCTGTTTTAAAACAAATTATTTTTGTTATTACTGTTTCTATTGGGTTTTTTTCTAGTACCTCAGTACTCTGGTTAGAAACTGTCTCCTAACTTCCAGTCTAAATTTATTCATGCTAACACAGATCCATGTATTCTTACATCAGTATTGTCCTTAGAATAGCTCTCTTTCTTGTGTTTATTCCTCCTGATGTATTTATAGACAGCAAACATATACCTTTCTTTCTTTCTTTGTTTTCCTAATTGAACTGGCAAAGCCTTCTTGTTCTTCTTCTGTAAGACAGTTTGTTTTCAGTTGCATGGCTTATCCTAGTAACACCCATTTTCTATATTTCTTTCCACTTCATCTCTTTTGGAACCTGGTAAAACCCAGTATTATAAACAAAACCACTAGCTCAGTCATCACAAAAGCAAGCAATTACACCCTTGTCTTTTTCTTCCTGTTATTTCCAGCTGATGAACGTTGAGCTTTTAACTAAAAAAAAAAAAAAAATAAATCTTGTTTTCGCACAGAAGTACATATTTTGCACATAAAAATACCAAAGGGAGCCTTCAAGGCATGATGTCTGTTTTCAAAGTCTTATTCAGCCATCTTCAAACATCTTATTTTATGATATCAGTGCTTCTGCATATCAATGCCCTCCAGTTTTCTGCTGTTACTGAATACGATAAATTTTGCTCCAACATTAAGAAATTGAAGCTTTGGGATTAAATTAACAGTCATCTTTCAATCATATATTTCCTGAATTCACCTGATATGTCATCTCCCTATTTGCTAGTTCTTACTCATCTTACAATTGTTCTAGGACATGCCTCTTCAAACACTAATGACTTTCCCAGATGTATTTTAAGCAATTGTTCATTTTTCCCATATATATTATTACTGTTTCTTTAAAAATATATTTTCTATAATGAGATACACCAATTTATTTGCTTCTATTTATGATGTGATGTCACAGAATGTGATGTCATAGAAAAACATAGGCTGGAAATTACCTCTGGAGATCTTCCATTCCAACACCACCATCGAGGTCCTGCCAATGTCAAAGTTGGATCGAGTTGCTCACGGTAGTATCCAGCTGCATTTTAAATACAGGAAACAGTAAATTCATGTGTTTCAGAATTCTGAGCAAGATTTGATATAAAATCTCCTGCCCTGGAGCAAAATCAACTGCTTGAATTTTCTGTTATGCTTGGAGATTCTTACTAGCTACTCTGCCTTCATCTCTCTTCCACGCGATTTTCCTTATTAAAATCTAAAGGAAAAAAAATAGTCAAACAAGGTGTCTGGGATTAATCAACCCTTCTCCCATGCATAGGAGCTCACCTTCTACCTTTTTTTTTCATTTTGCTTAAATGCAAAATTAATTTTTATAAATTGCCACGCAAGGTCTTACCTTGTCTTAATTTTGTTTATGCATTTCCTGAACTCTTAAACACAGTTTGTTTTCTGATAAGTCTTTTTCTTTCCATTCCTTGTGAATTCATAGCTTCTATCTCTTTTGACTCATTTGGATCTCAATGGCTCAACTGCAGGTCCCCTGTAATCTGCATCTAAGTGATGAACTGTAAAGGCAGGAGAGACAGCCATTTTCACCTATATTGTTGTCTTTATTGTGTCAGAAATACAGATTTTTGGCATTAGCAATGAAATTTGCTATTATATTGATTCAGGAGAACATGTTATTCACCTCTGTTATCAGCTTGGTTCAACACTCTGGAAGCACTGAACTCTTGACTCGGTATATCAGTAATTTTGCTTCACTTCATGAAAGCTTCTTACGTTCTCAGTAGCTTTGTGTGAGGGCAAATGTGCGGGGCTGACATCTGTAGGGCACGGCTTCAGAGTTGTGTGAACTGCTCCAAGCTTTGCTGTTCTGGTTCCACCTTCCTTTCACCAGGTGCCTGTGTCTGGGACTGGGAGTGGGAGGGAAGACTGAATCACAGCAGCCCAGGTTAGCTTCTGTTGCCATGGCCCAACACCTTTAGAATAGGTAGAGATTGGGGTAAGACTTATCTTGCATTTTAAATCTCAGATAAAAAAAGTCTTGTTTTTTTTCAAGATAAGAAATACAAAAAGTCATATGTTGAGGAATGTTCTTTTTGCCAGTCTAGCTCATGGAAGGGAGATGAAGATGCCTTTCAGGTTAAATAAAAAATGCTGAGCATCCTGCTTAGCAGCGACTTTATAAGCATTACTTAATTAGAGGTGTGTATATCGGTGACACTTAAAATATGTAAGTGATATAATTTTACAAAACAATATGTACCACATATATTATAAACCTAGCAAAATAAGTTTGCTAGTTAGTTCTGTGAGACTGAAAACTTCTTTACACTAATATCCTTATGATTTTATTCTTTGAGTATCAGTTTTAGTAATTACTGAAGTCGGAACCTAATTTCAACTTTGAAACACTAATATTGAACCCACTACCTAAGTTACAAAGTAGTATTTTTGGCCAGGGAAATGCAACAGCTGAGGGTACGAAGCATCTTCATGATTGCTCCAAGGAACCTTTTGCAGCTTCTTAGTGTAGATTCTATTTCCTCAGCCTAGTATCAAGATAAAGGCATTATCGAGCCCTAGCTCCATGGTTTGCAAGGTTTCCATGGAGCAGGCAGTATGTCCCCCTTGTGGCTTTGTGAAGGTGAGAATATTAACTGAATGGAAAAAAGGAGCCAGAACTTGCGTTTCACAAATTCTTCTTTTTTGCTTATATTCTTCTCTTCCAGAAGTGGAGTGTGTATAAGGTGCTGCACAGCTGTTAATATCTTAGGACTTAAGTTGGCATCCAACAGCAGAGCTGAGTAAGCAGCCACCAGTGCTGTGTTATCTCCTTCGTTTTGTTGAATGTGAAGCGGATGGGGAAAAAGCACAACACTGAAAAATAAAAGAATCAGATTCACTGTGCAACAGCACAAGCAATTTTGTTGGCATTGCTGCCTACGGAAAAGTAATGAAAAATATTAAGGCACCATGAACTGAAGTCTTGAGCTGTGTCAAATTTGCATTGTAAACATTTTTCTAAAGTTCACAAAACCCATTCTTTTTTCCTAACAGATCTTATTCATAGAACGTTTTGCACGGTACATTATAAATATGATGTACTTGGATTTATTTAAATGTAAACCAGGGAAATACACTATGATCACTTAAGTTTAATATTTTTTTAATAATTACTTCAAAACATGTTACATTTAAAGACTATGATATTGAACTGGTAGATTTAAAAACTACTTTGTATTTCTGTCATGACTAAATCTAAGAAAAAGTCTTCATCTTTTGTGTACTATGCAATCAAATAGTTGTGTGAATATTTTTCTTTGTCAGTTAACGTTTTTACTGACTATGTAGGTTTGGTTTTTGCTAATTTGGCGGGGGTGGGGTTATCTTTGCAGAATTCTTCTGAAGAGCCAGCTGTACAACTAGTAACGCTGCATGAAATTTTAGAGGTAAGATCTTTTTTTTTATGTAGAGATTTGGGGGATTTTCCAATACTCAGATCTGATCATAACACATTAATAAGATAAATAACAGTATATGACAAACAGTTAAGATAGTAGCTTGGAAAGTGAAATGTTTAAGAATGTTATGTCAGACTTCTATTTTAATTCCTATCAAATTAAACCCCCAATTTTTTGCAAAACCTGTGGCAATAATTTAGATAACTAAATCTTCAGTTAAAGCTGGAGAGTGATTATCCCTTATTTCTTAATTTTCTAATGATTATTTTTAAAGAAGTTTTATGAGCATTAGTGGCTCATATTAGGGGAGACAAATGCTGTGCTTAACAAAAAAAATGAAATGTTCCGTTTCATGCTATGTTTTATACTGTTTCAATAAAAGTATTTCTGAAATGTAATACAATAACTGTTACAGAAGGACAAGCTAATGTGTAATGTCATGTGTTAACTGGATTATCTTCCCATATGAGGGAATCAATGAATGATTTATGCATTTCTATGTGATTTTATAAGTATGCCAGCATTGCTTGGTGTGCATTTTATTGCTTGGTGTGCAGTTTGTGAATTTGAATTGCATAATTTTGAAGAAGCATTAAAAATCTTTTCACTAGCATTGTTCCTTCTTGTCTTAAATGTGGCATTTGAAGTTAAATTTGCTATTCTTCCTGCATCCTCATTCTTCAGACGGTTGTACGCATCTATGTGTAAGACCTTGCTAGGGGAAGAAGTTTTTTCCTGAGGGAGAACTTGATTAATTACAACTTTCTGGTATTAAGATGCTATGATCTGGTCACTATGACATTATTGTACTTTAATTTAAAGGCCAGACTTTCGGCTTACATCATCAAAATCATTTTACATGCTTCAAGTTTGTTAGCATGCCTATTAATGCCAAATTAGACAGAGCTTGAAAACAGATTAGAATTTAAGACAACCACATTCCCTATGGAATTAAAATTTTAAAGCTCTCCTAATGCTTTAAAAGTGCCCTTTGTATTTTTCTGATATTGTTAATCTCCACAAAATGTGAACACATCCAAGAAATGTCTGATTTCCAACTGGAAGAACATGCTACTTCCAAAAGTTCAGACATTTTAACTATCTTGGCGTACACTGTATCTCTTATCTTTGTTTTACGGGAGGTTGGTTTTTTTCTGTTGAGCAACTTGGTTCTGCCTTCAAGTGCAAAGTGTTTTCTTAGATACAGATAGTAGTTTCTTAGAGACAAATGCAAAGTCATCTTTGTATTATAATGACAGGTTTAGGATTTGGTATTGTACAAAATAATTCATTCACAGACTTACAATCAGTGCATGTGTTCCTAACCATATATCCCCAGTCTCCATGTGTAATGGAAGTGTGTATTTTTAATAAATCCACTTTGACAAGCTAGGTGTATACATTTGTATTATTCAGGTATATCAGTACTTCATTAAATTAGCGTGAGTAGTAAGCAAGAAGCATACTCCTTTCTCATGCAAACCTCAGAATTTTTATTATACTCCTTTTTATTCCAATAATGAGCTGTCATTTTTTAGAAGTGCAGTAATTCTTTTCCATTTAAACAGTTTGAGGATTATTCCTTTCTGATTGAGAATGTAGTGAACTAGTTTAATATTTGAAAGACTTTATAATACAAATGTATGTAAAGTTACAGGCATAAAGGCTATTTTGGAATATCAGATGTCAGAAAAGACTAAGTAACAATTCATCTGAAATAATGCATTTGGAGTAAATACTCAGAATTTGGGCAGGTAAGTGCAAAAGACAAACTGGAACAATTCTTTGGAATGTTCAGAAAAAGAAGAGCAGTATTTTTTTTAATAGTAATGCATAGGAAAGAGTAAAGTCTGGTAGTGAGAATGTTGACTTTTTCTTGAGCAGTGAAGAGGCAGACAGAATATTTTGTGCCTACTGAAACTGGGAAAGCTATAACACTTAGAAGCTCTAAATAGAAAGATGAAATATCTGGGATGAATAGAAGGAACACCATGGGATGGGTGAGATTGTTTAATCTGTAATGTCTGCGATATTCTGTATGAGCATTATTATGAGGGCATGACCATGGTCTCCAAGAACAGAAAAAGAATGTCAGAACTGATTTTTGTTTTTTAACTCTATTAACTAATTCTATATTTAGACAAGGAATGAAGGAGGATAAGGAAGTATCAAGAGGAGGTTGTAAGGTGTTTGCCTTGCCCAAATAAGAAGTAATATTAGAATTTGGATAATCCAGTGAGCATAAGCGAAACCCAAATGAAATGAGCAAAAAGATTTGATGTGCAAACATCGTGAAGTTAAAGTAGGTCTATGATATTTAACGTTTCACAGGTGTAAACTCATTTCTTTCTAACACAACCTACAGAAGGACACAAAATACAGGAAAACTAATTCTTCCCAATCAAAGAAGAAAGATTTTTTTTTTTAGCTTATTAGTGAGATGAAATTTAGAAAAACTGTAAGATGGACATTCTTTGCTAAAATCTGAAAGAGTGAGGGAGAAATACTATTTGTTGACAGTAAGTCATTATGGTTTTGAGGCAAGTAATTCCCAAAAATCTAGCTTTCTCTCTTTAATGCTTTTAACCTTAAATTAACAGATACTGATTTTAAAGATTAGTTCTATAAGGATTTACCATCTTCATGTTCAGTTTTTTTAGGCATTTACAATCACACTATCTAAAATCCACCAAGAATTTTTGACAGGTGGTGAAAAAATAAGTCTGGATAAAAGGAGAATTCTGGTTCTAGTTTTTACATCGGAAAAGATGTAATGAAGTTAATTGGAAGTTATTTGTTTTCCTTCTACCTTGAACAAGTCTTGTATTTCTCCTGTAGTCCTGTATTGCTTATGTTGCCTACATAAGTGTCTCATTACAGTAATTGGTATAAATGTGGTTAAAAGAGATTAAAATCTAGCTGTTTTGTTAATTTCCTAAATCTTATCCTTTTGGTCTTCCAGATTCTTCTAAACAAATTATTAAGCACACCACATGAACCCTATGTCACAATCAATGACTCATTTTGGCCACCTTATATTGAGCTGCTGCTTCGAAATGGAATTGCCCTGAGACATCCAGAAGACCCAAACAGACTGCGCCTAGAAGCCTTTCACATGTAGCGTGACCGACATGCTTACCTTAAAAATAGAAAAGGCACCAGTACTGTTGCTTGTGGCCTAAGACATACTTATATTATATGATTAGCTTTTGGGGGTGATTTGAATTTTTTTTTATTATTTAATGAATTGGTCAGAGTGTGAATTAAGGCAAAAGACAAAAATTTCTATTTTGACGGCTCATAGTTACAGTTGGCTTTCAGTTTTATGGCAAGTGATAACAAGATTTGCGTTGTGGAGCTTTTTTTTCATTAATAAGATGCAAATTCACATAGTAGACAAAGTAATGTTTTTCACAGTATTTTTTATTTTAAAAATAATAATTTATACATTACATTCACGGTTTAGGTTAATTTCTTAGATTTTTTTAAACACTTCTCAATTTCCTTGGTACTCTGCAGAGCCAAAATTTGAAGTAACAGAGCTCCTTCTGCACGTGGTCGTGCAATCATTTGGAACTAACAATGAAGTATCATCTCAAGAATGGGGGGGGTGTTTTTTCTGTGAGTTGGTTGTTTGATTGGTTGGTTGGTTGTTTATTTTTTTTTTTCCAGAGCCTTTGCAAACAAATTTATTTGCTTTAAGAACACTTAGGAAAGCTGACACATCTTTCTGTGCAAAAGGCTGCAGATGTTGAGTGTGCAACTGCACGCTTCCTAAACAGTCCACGTTGTCTTATGCTGTATTGCCTAACAGTATCCTTCTTCACTGTTTCAGATCTAGTTTATCAAGGCTTATAACAGATCTCTGTTCTGTTGATAGCTAGAGTTTTGAAGTTGTGTTAGCTGAACAGTTACCTTCTGAATAAATGCTGGCATTCTGTGTCATCCTAATCTGCTTTTCTTGTTATTGTAGTCCATGGCTGAACAAAATTCTGCTCTTGCATATCTATAGTGACTGTAACCATAGGAAATAAAATACGCTTTTTATTAGCCATATTTCAGTTTATTTATGTAGGAACTTTAATAGTTTTTAAATTCATAGAAAAATAAAGGTTTCTGTAGAATCACAGAATGGTTTGGCTTGTAAAGGACCTTAAGAATCACCTAGTTCCAACCCCCCTGGCAGGGACACCTTCCACTAGACCAGGTTGCTCAAAGCCCCATCCAGCCTGGCCTTGAACACTGCCAGGGAGGGGGCAGCCACAGCTTCTCTGAGCAACCTCTGCCAGTGCCTCACCAGCCTCATAGTGAAGAAATTCTTCCCAATACCTAATCTAAATCTACCCTCTTTGAAACTGTTACCCCTTGTCCTATCACCACACTCCCTGATAAAGAGTCCCTCCCCACCTTTCCTGTAGCCCCCTTGAAGTACTAGAAGGCCACTAGAAGGTCTCCCTGGAGCCTTCTCTTCTCCAGGCTGAACAGCCTCAACTTTCAGCCCCAATCATCTTTGTGGCCCTCCTCTAGACTTGCTCCACCTGGTCCATGTCTGTCATATGCTGGGGGCCCCAGAGCTGGACGCAGCACTCCAGGTGGGGTCTCACCAGAGCACAGTAGAGGGGCGGAATCCCCTCCCTCGACCTGCTGGCCATGCTGCTTCTGATGCAGCCCAGGATGCGATTGGCTTTCTGGGCTGCGAGCACGCACTGCCAGCTCATATTCAGCTTTTCACCCACCAGCACCCCCA